GTGGACCCAAATATTATCAGCCAAATGGATTGGTTTGAGGAATTATCAAAATAGTTTTGTCTTCATTTACTCCTTGGGATAGCAAGGGACCAAGTAAACTAGTTTCATGAATCTTTATTCCCAGCGTCCAACCTCCAAATTTCTGGAGGACAGAGTAACTCTTAACTAAGCTGTGAGGTAGACAAAGCATGAAACACCCTGATTTGTAAGAAAAGAGTTGACTCTAGTATTGATTATTGTTTCTATTCAATACCACCTACATTCATTAAGCATATATGTGATAGTTTGAATGTTTTCGTCTCCTCCAAAATTCACGTTAAAATTTAATCTCCAATGCAACATATGAAGAGATGTGGCCTTTAGGAGGCAGTTGAGTCATGTCATAAATAGAATCAGGTGTCCTCATGAAACGGCTTGATGAAGGGAGTTGAGGTCTCTTTCTCTTCTGCCCCTTCTTCCATGGACAGACACAGTGTTCATCCCCTCCAGAGGATACATAAACATGGCACCAACTTGGAATTGGAGATTGAGTTCTCATCAGACACTGAACTTGCTGGTGCCAGGATATTAGACCCCCAGGCTTCAGAACCATGACAAATAAATTTGTTTTTAATATAAATTACCCAGTCTGTGGTATTTTATAATACCAGTTCAAATGGACAGTATATTTTGTGAAGGCACTGTGGTAGCCTCCTTGCTAGTGATTAGGGAGAAGAAAATTAAGACATTCTCAACAAACACATCTGTAGAGGTAGTTGGCACAGATAAATTGAATTTGATGTATTTAAGCTTGGTGCTGGATTTATTTAAGTTACCACTGCCAGCTGCTTTTCCATAGGAGGACACTCTGCAAGAAAACTCTGTAAGAAAAGTTCTTGGACTCTTCCCATAACACTACAAAAGTCACTCTTGGTTATGTAAATAGAAGTAGAATAACATATGTTATGGTTTGAACATCTGTCACCTTCTAAACTCATGTTGAAATTAATTGCCATTGGAATGGTGTTAGGAAGAGGGACCTTTAAGAGGGGATTAGGCCACGAGGGCTCTATCCTCATGAATAGATTAATGCTATTATCATGGGAATGGGTTCCATATAAAAAGGCGACTTTGCCCCCCTTTGACTCTCCCTCAGTCACTCACTTTTGGCCGCGTTATGATGCACCAAGAAGTCCCTCTCCAAGTGCCAGCCCCTCAATCTTGTACTTCTTAGCTTCTAGAGCTGTGAGCCAATAAACTTCAGTCCATCGCAAATTCCCTGTCTGTGGTATTCTGTTATAGCAGCACAAATGAACTAAGATATCTATTGGCCTACAAATCTCAGATTCTTTATGTGATTTGGTGGAATTGGAAAGAGGGAAAGTAAATTTGCATAGAGTTAAGTAGGCTTCAGTGAGGAATAAGATAAAGCCCATGACCCTTTATCTTTAGATTACTAAAATTATTAGGAACTGTGATGTTTTAGGATAATGTCAGTTATAGTTCTCTTGCAGGAAAGGACCTTAAAAACCCAAAGGAAACAAGAAAAGTAAAAACCTGTGCTAGTGATCCCTGTTTCACACAGAATCTACAGATCAACATGAGGAAGGCCTTTAAGACAACTCCAGACCCAGCCACCCCATAAATATTAGCTCATGAGTAAAAACCATAATCACTTGTACTCTGGAGATGTGTGTTGCAATCAGAACCATAGAGGCAACTGGTCTTTAGATGCAGTACTGTGTCACAGCAATAGAAGCTACAACAGTTGAAAACCAAGCCCAGTCGGTGGGCAGGTCACATGGCCTGGCATTTTTAAGTAGGAGCAACCATGCAAATAAGGCCAAGTAAGCTTCTCAGGATCTTGGACCATTTGGGATGATGGGGTTCATAAAAGCTTGGTGCTGGATTTTCTCCTAACATAAATATATAAAGCTAGACAAATCCACTGGAATATAAAAGGGATATTGCCTTTTATGCCCCACACTACTGCAGAGAGCCATACTGGTTACACTTACATATCCCAAGAACATCAGCAAAACAATCCATTTTAAGGGCATAGACCTACAATCGAAATCTGCAACTAGTGCTAAAGAAACATTATGAAGAAACTCAGTCTTCATAAAAATCCTTGAAATCCCCATAACTGACAAGAACAGAGACAGTTAATAAATTGTTATGTATTGTTCAATAATTTCATGTTTGTACTGAAAATATTGTATGCAGAATTACATTAGCTCTACCTCCCAAGAGTTGCTATGTGTAATCCTGTATACAAGTGTTAGAAGCCAAATTTGTCAGTAGTGTGAAATGTAGGCATTTTAGTTCAGGCTGTAAAATTAAAATTTTAAAGACAATGTTCTAGATTTTAAAGAGAAAATGTGTAGCTCCCAACAGAGTATGCTCCAGTATGATACACATCAACTATGTCCACAAAGGTGGTGCCAAGTACTATATGTACTTGGATAACACAATGGAAAGCCTGAGAGCAATTGGATTTGCCTCTACCAGCTTGGAGTAACAACCAGCGCTAGCTATACAATTTGTGGCACTCTGTCAAAAATGAAAATGCAAGCCTCATTGCTCAAAAACGCAATATAAAGGGATCTTTTTAAAAGTACCTAAAATAGGCTGGACACAGTGGCCCATGCCTGTATTTCCAGCACTTTGGGAGGCAGAGGTGGGTAAATCACCTGAGGTCAGGAGTTCAAGGCCAGCCTGGCCAACATGTTAAAAACCCATTTCTTCTAAAAATAAAAAAATAGTTGGGCGTGGTGGCACATGTCTGTAATCCAAGCTACTCAGTAGACTGAGGCAGGAGAATCTCTTGGACCCGGGAGGCAGAGGTTGCAGATCATGCCATTGCACTCCAGCCTAGGCAACAAGAGAGAAACAACTCTCCAAAAAAAAAAAAGAGAGAGAATCTAAAATATAGAGCATTTTCCTTTCTTTCAAAGTATCTCCCTCTCGATTTGCCATGGTGTTTTTTATCGACCAATTGCATTATTTTTCCATTGCCGCATAACAAATTAGCAGCTTACAACAACAGCCATGTTCTCTGACAGTGTTCATGGATCGGGAGTCTAGGCATCGCTTAGTTGAGTCTTCTGCTCAAGGTACCTAAAACAGTCAGATGTATAAAATCAAAGAACAGAATGGTGGTTGTCAGGGGCTGAGGTGAGGGGGATATGGGAATTTATTAATCACTGGGCATAAAGTTTCAGTCAAGCAAGAGGAATGAGCTCTAGGGAGCTGCTGTGCAACACTGTGCCTACAGTCAACAAGAATGAACCATATGCTTAAAAATTTGCTAGGAGCATAGCTCTCATGTTAAATGTTCTTACCACAATAAATAAAATAAATAAAATGAATTTAATCTATTTATAGACTCTGATTCTGGAAATATTATAAGGATTGAAGAAACTTTTTTTTGAGATTTATGCTGAGAGTCTTTCAGTTTCTCTATGAAAGTGAGAAAGGCAATGAATATGGAAAGCCGCCTGTTTCCTCATCTCTATTAATACTTCGCTCACAGGGTTCTGGTAAAGATGAAGTGAAACAGCAGAAGTCCCTCATAAGCTGTAAAGTGCTGTTCACGCGTAAGGAGACATTAGTGTTAAAACTAATGTCAACAACAGAGACCACGTCAACAAATTACTTTTTTTATTAGCAATCCTATTTGCCAATGAAAAATGAAGCCATAATTTTAGTAAGATCCTGCATCTCACACTGGTTTTTAGAGGCTGACAGTAGGAGCTCACACTGTGATCAGTGAGGTAGGAAGAGGGCACCAAGAAATCACTGCAGAAAAGAAGCGCTAGAATGGAAGGAAGTTTCCCCGGGAAAATGTAAGTTCTGCCCTCCGACATACTTAGCTTCTGGCTGTTAGAGAGAAGATCATGGATATAGTGTACTTCACTAACAAGAAGCATACATGTTCATACTCAGGACTTTCTCTTTTTTTGAGATGGAGTCTCACTTTTGTTGCCCATGCTGGACTTTCTCAGGAGATTTAAAAGATATTTTCCCTCAGTTTAATAAATGCTATCCCAAAGTACTTGGAAATAGACTTTAAAATGTTTGATATGCAAGAAACAATTTTCAGGCCAATCTTTTGACAACAGACTCCTCTGTATCTAAAGCAATCCATTATGTGTTAAGTCCTTCTGAGTCCAGAATTCAGTCCCAATTCACTCCACCAGACTGTCAGTGAAATCATGACTAATGAGATAGAGTACTCAAGGCAGCAGCTGATGGGTGTGACACTCTGTGATTGAACAGCTTCCCATAATGAAGCAAAATGTGACGTGCCCCAAGGTTTTCAGTAAAGAAAAACTGAAGGAGAAATCTTTGGATAGAAAGAAGCAATTTTCTAAAAGCTCGTGTATATTTTTTCTATCTTTTGATAATGTAGACTCTAGGGGTACGGTGCTCCCCCTTTAGAATTTCTGCTCAATTAGGAGCCACAACCAAAGTCATTTCCTATTGCTTGTATGGATCAACTAGAAGATCCTTCAAAAAGAGCTATATTGAAACCAAGCAGCAAATAGAAATGGACACAATGTACAGTATTCTAAACAGTCAAGCTACAAGTATGGGTTTCTGAGCCTGCACTAACCAACTGACTTACTGACTCATGGACCTCCTCTCTTCCATGTTCTTTCTGAATATGACCTTCAGCTGTTATCTTGTGTCACTATTTCTCAGGAGCTCATCTAATCTCCTATGCTGCCCTGTTTCTGGAAAGCATAAACTTCCTTTTGATTTAAAACCCAAATCTTTTTATGGATTTCTGCTACCAAGGGTTCTACTACTCAGTTAGTGTCTGGCCTGAAAGCTAAGTCTCATGAGCCCTTCTCTATTTGTTCTGCAAATTTCTACCTATTTTATTATGTGTATTATAACAGCTCCTTTCCCACTCACCCCATCCCCACCCCAGTCCCCAAGGTATTCAAAGGAAAGGAATAAACATTTTTTCTGTGTACCTACTATGGAAAGACATGCAATATATAAACAGCAAAAAAAAAAAATTGTCTAGGAGGTTTTAAAACCGTCTTCTATAGGAGCAGCTACTTACCTAGGTTTGCAGGGAAACGTATGCTTCCCAGCACTGATAAACTGCTTTCTTAACTCTTTCAGAAAATTTTGTCTTTACTGGAGACCTGGATCAGAGTTTCCTTTCTTTCTGTACGGTAGGGAACAAACAGAAAGGTCTTTCTGTTTTGTAACCCCCTCTCCTGAGTACTCTGCACAAAGCTAGATGCTCCACTTTGCTTAATAGTCTGAGAAGGGTTGTTCTTCTGCTGGGTTTTGTGGCTCTGCTCTGTGATCTAAAGTCTTCTTCCCTGGCCAGAAGTCTGTGCTGCCTTTTGTCACCACGGGCTTCTTTTGCCTTGCTATGCTATAGGAAAGTTGTTTAAACCTTCTGGAAGGAAGAGTTCATTACTTGACTGAAGTTTTAATTGAAAATACATCCCTCTAGGCTGGGATAAAGATACCATGGTACGGTCTCTGTAATACCACTAAACACATCGCCTATCACTCACATTCACTGTCATATACGATATATACGTTATTTGACTGAATCCTGAAACCAATCCTACAATGAAGAAAGTCTCCAAGGGATAAAATAATCAAGGACGAAAACGCCATTTGTCTGCCTCCAAAGACCAGGCTTATACCACTTTGCCACTCGAATTAGCAGCCTCTCCAATAACATTGAGACCGTTTAAATGTTTTGGTGTCAAAGGTGAAAAATAGTTTTTCTCTTTGGTCCCAATACCTATTCTAGCAGATAACCTTGAGCCCACCCCAGCTTCTTCCCTGTCCTTAGGGTTCTGCTTTTCCCTCAGTTGTCCCTTAACCTGCTCCTATGCCCAAGCCCTGCTGACCACCTTGAATTTGTCTGAGGCTCTGCTGGAAAATACTACCTTCTCATTTCTCCAGAAGCACTCTCATGGGGCTGTGTTGAAGAATGGATTTGTAATCAAGTTTTCGTCAACATGATCCCAACTGCTCTGTCTCTTCCAGCAGTTCCTCAAGCCATCTTGTCCACCACCAGCATTTTTCCCGTTTTCCAGGGCTTCGTTGGGTGCATTCATGTTTTCACATTTGTCACTTCAGTGCAATTTTGGAAGGAAATATTATAATATTTCTTGGTACACAATTTTGAGGCAAAACCTCTTATCTAAGTTTTCAAATTCTTTTTCTAGAATTAGTATAGCTCAGTATAACAGAGATCCGAGAAGAGTTTTTAAAATAAGGAAATACTTCTAACACTATGGCTTGGCACCTAAAGCTAATGAAGATCATCCTGAAGTCTCTTACCTCTGGCACGACAGTTAGGTCTCCAGAGAAAATCACTTAAGAAAGCCTTGGTCCTTGACCAAGTAAAGTTTTCCTTTTATTGTTTTAGGCTAAAAATAAGAAAAGAATGACTCAGCAAGTTTTGGCCTATATACTGTCATTCTGTAGAACTCCCTAAATATTTAAATCCAAATTAAAGCATAAACAGCCTGAAGAATCACTTTCTCTAGGCCCAAGGACAGTTTGATGGAGCAAATTTAAATAGTATCTATATGTTGCTTTGTTATGAAATTTATTTGCCTTGCCAACAACATAGTGTGGTAATTTAAAAGCTGGGTTTTTAAATTAACAGTCTTGACCTATATTTTGCTACCAATAGAAGTCTGGTTTCTAACTATAATTCCATACTAAATTCACCGCTTGTACATGAAGAAAAATCTAAATTAATTGACATGTAAAGGGGTAGCTCTAAGTAGGAAGCCATAAGAATTGCATGATAGAAGTTTAATATCATTGTTCTTTGCATCTGAAAATGTCATCAATAGCATGCATATGACTGAAGGAGAAAAACCCAACATGCTGTATGCGCCTGCACAACTCTCTGCAAAGGTTTAGGGTAACGGTTCAGAGGACTGATCATTGATGGCTTCTTTCTAAGCTGTAAACATTCAACATTGCATACAGGTAGGTTTTAACATCTTTTCTGTGGCTCACTTTGCATTTTAGACCCTCCCCCACTCAGCTTGTCCACAGCGGTTTCAATACCCATGCTATTCAGACCTTTTAGAAGGTTTGCAATAGCTTGGTTTTACAATGAAATGACAGTCTCCCTTATTTGTGACTTGAAATACTATCTCGTGTTTCAATGATTTTAAGTAATTAAGGAAACAAATAAGGCTTCATGCATAATATCCATTACAAAATTATTTAAAACTAAGTTTATAGATTGTAGAATTAAAACATGGACTAGAATTTGTAGACTAACAGAAGCACTAAATACATGAAAACAGATACCCTCACTAGAGTTAGGCTAGAAGAAACATCACAATTCTAGAAATAAGCATTCGTGGATTAACTCAAAGAGAAGTGGATTCAGCTACTCAGCTTTGTAATTTAAAGTGCATTAGTGCTTTGTACCTTAGACATGCTGCAATAATCATTTTCCTTACCTATTCTTATCACAGACAATGACTTACTTTCAACCAAATAAAACATTGGTTTCTAAGGAATTATTTCTTTGATGATTCTGATATTGCTTATATTTTTATTGTCTCTTCATAGTAATGACAAATTGCTATTAAACAATTTACACAGTTGACATTATTAAACATCTAGTGACAATACCTGGCATTAAAATATTTTGATTTTATGAAATGTTATACTATATGCTTTATGTTTTTAAAAAAATTAAGATCATAGCCACTAGCCTTTCATATTTCAAAACTTTACCTGATATAATTTCTCTGCCTATAGTATTTTCAATAATTTAAAATATTCAAAATGTCATGACTACTTACTAGTGCTCATTTATAACCTAAAATAATCTGTTGTTCCTATTGCTGATAACTTTATGATTAGGCTTAGCATTTGAGGCTCTGTAATCTGGGACTTTCCTCACTCAACAAATGTTCTTTCTACCACTCTGTAGCTGAACCTATCATTCTATGCAAGATAGTATTTTAAATTGTCCCATAAATATATCAGGCTCATTCCCAACATCATTCTTTGATTCATATTGCTCCCCAAAATGTAACATCCTCTTCTCTCTTTTTACCATCTATCTATATTCTAGTGTTTTTGATCATTCAGAATACCTATATAATTACCTGTAAAGAAAGGAAATTAGAACTTCATTTCATACATTCAAAATTATATATATTAAAAAGTCTAAAAATTAAAGTATAACACAGCTAAAACAAGATATATGTAAATATTTGAACACAGAATAAAGTCTAAATATAAAACCAACGGAATAAATTATAAATGATCATTGGATTTCACAAAAACAAATTTTCATACACTAAAAATAACCATTGAACAAACTGAAATGAAAATAAACTAAACTCCTATACCAGAAAGATATATATAGAAAGATATCTTTTTAAGTTTCCCTTTCCAAATATTTCAGAGAACACCTGAAAGCTATTTATATCAAGCAGAACAAAAATATTACAGTCAAACATATCTCCAGTAAGGATTTTCTGCAGGCTTATTTTTAGGAAATCTGCTTATTTTTGCTGCTTAATTCTAAACCCTCTCATTAGGTATTTTAAATGCCTGGCCTCCATTTTTTTCAACAAATGTTTTTATTGTACTGCAGCCACATGCCAGTAATTGTGCTAGATACAAAAACATACTGATGTGTAAAACAAAGAAGGACCCATCACAGAACTGAAGCCTAGTGGAAGATAAACTTTAATCAAATAATCACACAAATTGTGGTTTAAAAAGAAAAGATGCAGAGCGCTATGATGGCATAAAAAAGCAGCTTCATCTACTGGGGATATTGGATATGTATATGTCAAGGAAGACTTATCTACATACAACTGTAAGCTAATAAAACAGCAGGGGCTTTATCATAGACAAATTCTGCACCTTTCTGCATGTAACACAGTATGTCTTCTCTACTTGTTAAATAATTTGTTCCAAGAAAAATTTGAGACTGTCCTTACTAACTAGCCTTCTTTTTTCAGTAGTGTGCATGAAGTCAGCTTTAGAATGATCTGTACTGTAGACTAGACACTTTGAGACAGTTTAGAAATATATACTTTTATTCTTATGATTAAACAAGTTAAAAAGAAGTCTGTTTATACGGTGATTTAATAATCAATATCATCAGCCTTAATAGAACACTAAACATCAAAGGAATAACATTCATATTTCTTAAAAATATTCACATAATTACTAAAATAGGTTTAAAATTTTTTTCACTAACAGTGCACATAGATTGTTGAAACTTTTTAAAAAGCATGTATTTTTACACTGTGTATCCTGGAAGTTTATTTATTACTAATTCACAAATATCTTTGCATTGCTTGGAAATATTTAGTGAACCAACATCATCATTGTCTTCTTCAAAGTGATCTGATATACTGCTATCTAGGACATTAAGTTCTAGTTCAGACACATTTGAAGGCAGATAACTCACTTGGGATGTTCTTGGTGACTGGCTTTTTTCTAAAGATTTGCAACTACCTCTTGTTGGAACAGAGATGTCTTGACCACTCTTTGTAACTGTAGAATTGTGCATACTAATTTGATCTTTCTGGTTTTCTTTTTCTTCAGTCCAGTGTGATGAAGATAAATCACTGGTAGAGATACTACATGCTTCCTCCAAACTTTTATCCCGAGTCTTTGAAATATGAAATTTTCTATATGAGTGTACAGGTGACCCGGCTGAGAAAGGTGGGCTAAGGATAGAACTCTTGTCACTACTATTTTTCTTTTTGGACAATCTTGTTTCACTAGACTTGCTTGTATATTGACTATGTTTCGGATTTTCTGTCCTTGAACTGCTATCATGAGCTTTTAAACTTCCGCTGGTGTCCTCAGAGGTACAGAAATCTTCAGAATAGCAAGGGCTAGACAAGTCATCTGAATACTTCAGTTCTGAGATGTTTTCATTGCAACTATTTTTACCTGGTCTATTTTCACTTACATCAGCTATAAGAATATCATTATCTGTGCTTTTGACCTGTCTAATATCTATAATTCTGTCAACAACAGCATCCTGTTGGAAGACACATGGACTTTGGATTTGCATTTCCACATTTCTTCCCAAAATACTTGTATGGGTGAGCCTTTCTGGAATAATGAAATTTGCAGGATTCACAATTTCTTCCAATGAAACATCATTGGTTCCGTTTTTACTGCGATCCACTGTCTTTTTCTCAGTTTTACATTTCAGTTTAGTTTCTTTACTTGTGCTGGGATCATAAAAAACACTCATTTGTCTTGAGGTATCACTATTTTCAGTAAAAGATGCATCTAAATCTAAATATTTATCTTTAGGCAGTTGATGTGGTTCCTGGCTTTGTTCTGCAAAGCTTAATAGTTTAACTTTGGTTGATGGAATTCTGAATTTTGTACCCAACCTTTGTGCTTGTGTTTTTCTATACAGTTCTCTTTTTTCATGTACCACCAACATATCAGGATTTGTCTGCTTTAAACGCAGTCTTAGTGTATTTGTTAAGCCATAAAGTAGCCTCCCTTTTGTAACACTTTTTTGAAGGGTTCCACTGCTCTTTTCAGAATATTTATCTTTCTTACAGTTTTCAATTTGGTTCTTTTTATAATGAAGACTCACTGACTTTTCACATCCCCCCAGAGAAAGTTTATCCTTCTTAGATTCAGACTGGCATGTGGATTTGGCAGAAGATTCTGGTGACTTCTCCTCAGTCTTATATAACCAGGCTAGGTGAGGATGTATTTGAGCAGGACTTGTCACAGGTTGGTCATATAACAAGGACAACTCAACTAACAAAGCATTTAACAAAGGCAACTGCCTTATTGTATTAATTCTGTTTTGTTCAGTTTGACATGTTTGATTAATTGCTCCTATATCCTGAATATGTGGAGGATTTACAAGCATTGGAGGATGCTCATGTGTTGCAGAACTTGGATATTTTAGACAACTCCTGTGTGTTGGGGGATTTATATAGTTTTTTTCAGGAGACGCACCAAGCATTTCCTCAGGTACATTCATTTGAGGCTCAATGGTGATTCTAGCCTGCGCAGGAAGTGGTTTTTCTTGGGTCAAGTTAGTGTAAAACAAAGGAGGAGGGCAAAATATATTGGTCTCCATGTCCAACTCTGTGACTTCCTTATTTAGGGAGCTAACATTCCTCTCATTGCCAGCATTTGAACAAGTAACAATAGAATTGGTTTTGCCATTCTCCACAGAACCCACATTATCAGATTCGCCCTCACTTTGAAAAACTATTTCCTTCAAATCCTTCTGCGCTTCTGGGATTCCTAACCCCCCCAGCAGCCTATCAGCCTCTTTTGAGCTTGGCTGTGAGGCCGGCTGCTGTCTTTCCTGCGGGGTTTGGGGGCTGACCTCCGCTCCTCCTCCTGTCGCGGGGAAGGTGAGGGGTCGCTCAATATGGTCCAGCAGGTGGCTTCCCAGGTCAGTAAGGCGGTAGGCCAGTGCAATGTCCCCAGTCCGCGCGCCCACTCTATTACGCAGGGGGAAATGTCCTCGGTGAAGGTGGGAGCACCCGGAGGCGGCCGGCCCCACGACACCGTGGGCTGCGGTGGCCAGCGAGATGTCGCAGGCCCCCAGAAGCTGCGGTGCGGGAGTCGGGCGCCCGGGGGGCAGCTGTAGCAGCAAGGTGGCAAGCGGGGTCCGCAGGAGCCGGCGGTGCAGGGTGGCAGGGGGCAGGCGGAAGAGGCAAGACTTGCCGCGACCAAAGTGGATCACGCCGGGCCAGCGTTCCGGGACGGGCACGCCAGGACCGTCCGGAGGGTAAACCAGCAGCGTGGGAAAGTCCAGCAGGCGGAAGGCCACGGCGGGGCACAGAGCGCGCGGCGACGAGGCCTCCCCCGGCTCCTCTGCCTTCTCTTCCTCCCCCTGCTCCTCTGCCTTCTCTTCCTCCCCCTGCTCCGCTGCGGCAGCGGGGGGCGGCAGCAGCCGGGCTTCCAAACGCACCCAGTCCACCAGCAGCTCCAGCGAGAAGAGCCGCTCGGACGGCGCGGCCGCCATTACTGTTGCCCCAGGAAACGCCCCCGCGGGTTCCGCAAACGGGAAGCTGAAGCCCTGGGCTCTCGCGGGAACAAAAGGCCTCTCCGGCTGCTATCTCGCGAGATTAGCGGGACCGCTCCTGCAGATCCCCGGGAGTGCCTGCTTTGGGAATTTTGCTGCTCAATGTGTTTGGATCCTTTGTATGCATACTTGGTGTGCAACATTTTTCGCCTCCAAACTTGTATTAAGACAATTGTTGATAATAATGCCGGGGGTATAAGTGGTAAAATACAGGCAGTGAGTTTTTTTGGGTTATACTTTTATCACTGCAGATCTTACGTAATTTGGGGGTCAGATCAATATAGCTGAGGAAAATTGAAAGAAAATCAGGACTGTCCGTCCTTTCCCATGCTAAAGAAAGCCAGTTACTTACCTCTCCACAGTGGGCCTTCTCTGTGACTGCTGTCCCACCGAAAAGATGGTGACACTGCTCTGATGGGAAGCCCCTCACTGGTAAATTAGGGTAGTACTTAAGACCCACACACAGTGTGAATACACTGGCAAAAACTCTCCTTGGCTACACTTTGGTCAAGCTCCTCTAAACCTTTCCAACTAGGCTTTTGACCTTGGCTTCCAATCCTGTGGAGCCTGGAATCACCGAGTTGTAGTGAGAGTCTTGCTACAGCCGTTCAGAGAGAACCCCCAACCCCTTCATACCTGATTACCGTCGATATCTGATCAAATTTTTCGTTTTCTACCAGTGATATCTGACCACCCTGGCCTGCCTTCAGCAAGAATCCTATTAGGTCTGTTTAATCAGAACTCTTCCACCCCTGATGTTTCCTACTAGTAAGTTTCCATCCACTTGACCCGGCGCTCCCTTGGCTATAAATCCCCACTTGTCCCTGCTGTATTTGGAATTAAGCCTAGCTCTGTATTGAGGTCTCTTTTCTCTTATTGCAATAGTTTCTTAATACAATGTTTTTGCCACTTCAACTACTGTCTGGCCCTGTTTTTTATTTGACAACATTTTTAGCTGAGCAATCATGATGCATGAGAGTAATGTTAATGATTCCATCATTAAAACAAATGTGTATACATAAATATACACACACATACAGAGACACAGAGATCTTACTGCTCTATCCAGATATTTTAAGAAACATACTCCTAACTTGAATACTCCTAACCTCCTCCTAGCTAGCCAGCTAGGAATCCAAGGCCAGCATATGGAGAGCCTTGAATGCCATGGTAAGGAATTTGGACTACATTCCATATAAATTGTTTTGACTGAATAAGTACATCATATCAATATTTGGAAATGTAGAGTGGGGAGGCATACAAAGGATGGATTCTACTAATTACAAATTAGATTCAGAGCAATCTATTAGAAGACTACTGCAGTGGTCTAAGTGACAGATAATTATGACCTGCACATGATCAGGGTTAGTGGAAATTAAAAAGTGGTAACAGAAGATGCATTTGTGATGGAGGAATTTTAAAATTTGGTGAATGGGAGAGAAAGGTCATAGGTGAAAAATTTCTGCTACAGAAGGTGAAAATATTGAGGAGGCACAGATGTGATGGAAAAAATAACTTTGAGTTTGGGATATGTAGAGTTGGAGGTACCTGCTGGGTGTTATATATATACAGCTTTATTCAGCTTTATAAATTATAGTTATATTATGTTAATTCAGTGCTGAGAAATACATTGTGAAGCTCAGGAGAAATTCTGGACTGCAGACACATGATGCTTTAGTGTGAAGACGTGAGATAGAAGTTTCATTGCGATGTATAAATACAAGATACTTCTCTTGGCTTTGAGAATCTTGCTGTATAATTGCAGAGGATGCATCCTCAATGGATAGATGATGGGGAGTCATTAAAAAATGACATAATTACAAGTGAAGAGCCGTAAGATATTGAGTCCATGTGCACCAGAGAAATACAGTAGACAAAATTCCTCATAGAAGACATCCTGTGGATAGCCTTTTGGGTAAGGTTAATAGTGTGCACTGGTAGCACTTGTATGTCTCTCATAGATCAATAGAAAAAGGCAAGTCACTCTTCTAGAAAGACGTTACTTCTGCAATAGGTAGTTTCTGCAATAATACATTCTCTACCCAGCTGTTCTACATGACTGGTACTATAATATATGAATAATATTTTATAATTGTAAATAATGCTAAAGGTAACAAATAAAATTTTGCCATGACAAATATTTTCCGCATGTTTCTACACCAGACGTGGAGAAGTAGCACAGTGCATAGCTGAGAGACTGGGTTCTGGAAGCACAGTCCCTGGTGCAAGTCCTGGTTCTGTCACCTTGTACTTGTTCCTGAACTCTGTGAATCATTATCCTCATTTGAAAAATATAGTTACAGTAACTACCTCATAAAAATATTATACGTGTTAAGTGAATTAATATTTACAAAACTATTAGAACAGTGCCCAGCATATAGCAAATATTTGCTAAAATAAATATTGTTTTATTTATTATTTGCCACATGGCAGACTTTTTAGCCAAGTGTTTAAAATACTGATATTATACTTAGCAAAAAATAATTTATCCAATATCAGCCCATTATTTTCAGTATGTAAAGGTTTTTATGCTCTGGGTTTTACTTTTCATGCAGGAGCTAGCTGTTTTTGTCACAAGTCAAGGTCAGGCTAGGCAAGAGGCTATGGATTGTTGAGATATAAAAAGCTACTGTAGCTGGGCGCGGTGGCTCACGCCTATAATCCCAGCACTTTGGGAGGCCGAGGTGGGTGGATCACGAGGTCAAGAGATCAAGACCATCCTGGTCAACAAGGTGAAACCCCATCTCTACTAGAAATACAAAAATTAGCTGGGCATGGTGGTGCGTGCCTGTAGTCCCAGCTACTCGGGAGGCTGATTGCTCTCCTGAGGCAGGAAAATTGCTTGAACCCAGAAGGCGGAGGTTGCAGTGAGCCAAGATCGTGCCATTGCACTCCAGTCTGGGTAACAACAGCAAAAAATCTCCGTCTCAAAAAAAAGCTACTGTCATTGGAGAAACAAGTGGGGAAGCACACAAGTAAAAAGTATGAATTTCAGTGTGTGCTATGCTGAGTTTGATACCTGATATAATCCCGGTAGATCTAAGTTAGATATATGGATATGAAACTTAGAAGAGCAATCTGGGCTGAAATTATAAGCTAGGAGACATCAAAATTTGGATGTCAACCTAATTTCTTCATATAAGACCTGCATTAGCATAGAAATAAGACATTATTTTCTTCTTTTATGTAAATTACTTTGAAACAGTGTATACTGCAAGAATTTTGACTTGATCGCTAATGATCAGATATCATGTTAACTACCTTTTCTAGGGTAAATAACCTCGGGGTGAGAAGGGGCACAGGAAGGCAGCATCATCAACTAAAGTAGTACAGCTTCGAGACATGATGGGGCTAATAATCTGGGGAGGAAGCAGAAACTGAATTAGTAAAACTCACGGAACTGTGTGAGTCTGGCTCTTTAGAGGCAAACTTGTCTATGTCATCATGGGGCTGTGAACCCCAAGGGATGGATTCAGCAGATGGATCATTGTCGCAGGGGCTGTAACAAAATGGCAGTCCTGGAGTTAAGTAGGAGAGCAGTATCATATCTGGAGCAGTTGGTCTAGTTTGGAGCAGAAGCCCAGATCTATGGGAAATGTCATGGGGCCTGGTAAAAGTCAAGTGCATGTCATGGATCCAACTTAATCTATGTAGCTTCAGACAATGGAAGGAAGCTCCCGGGCTGTTGAAGGAAGTGACTTGGCCATCCAGTTGTGTGGGCTGAACAAACACTGATTAGGAGAAGTTTTTCTCCTAATCATGAAAGGTCCAAGGCTTACTCTAGAAACACCAAATACTAATTCCACATCTCACTTTCAGGGACATCCTGCTGCCTACAGACATCCTGGCTTAATCAGGATCAGGTCTAGAACCAAGTATAACCACCCATAATTGGCAGTACAGAGGGGACTGAAGATGTCCTCTACTGCCAGGTGGAAGATACAGAGCTGAAGGACAAAGAACCTGGTGAATCTGACTAGGAGGAAATGAAATTCAACATCACTTATTTCAGAATAATTCTTTACACCACTGTTTCCTTTCCCCAACAGAAAGAATATAACACAAATGCCACATGATCTTACTTAGAAGTGGGTGCTAGACATTGAGTACACTTGGATGTAAAGATGGGAATGACAGACACTGAGGACTACAAGAGGAGAGAAGGTAGGGAAGGAGAGTTGGAAAACTACCTATCAGAGACTATGCTCATTATGTGGGGGAAGGGATCATTTGTCCACCAAACCTCAGTCACCTACAATTTAATAAAATAATGAAAGACCTAAAATAAAAAATTCTAGAGGAAAACTTCTTTAAAAAAATGTAATCTGCAGTCTTGAAAATAGAAATGTGAAAAGACCAAGTGAAAGCCTTTTTCCCCGACCATGGTTTAAAACCCCTAGCAGATGCTTGTTTGCATGGCAAGCCTGGGAACCTTAGCTCTTAGAATTCCCTGAGAGACAGACTGGGAAGTTGGGGGGTTCTTCTTACAGCTCCCTTTTCCTCAGGTTCTCCTCTATTGTCTCCCAAGGGTTGCATTTCAGGATTCTAGATACATACTGTATTTCTGGAGCAAGAAAATTTCAATCAGGAGCCGATTTCTAGTCATTCATTCAGGACTTCAGATAAAAGCCTGTTTAAAGCAGAAAGTTGCCCTGCCTCTAGACCTGATTAGAGGCTCCTGAAATCTAAGCCGGATATTTCCCTCTTTGCTAACTGGGTTACAAATGGACCTTACACAACTTAAACACCACAAATGACCAGAGCTTTAATAAGATTCTCCTTGACATGTTTCATCATTGGTAAAGACGACCTGACTCTATCTTCAGAATAAATCTCCTGTGTTTGAATGCGGATCTTTTTCTTTGTTTCCTGTCTTTTCATTCCCTTCTATTTCTGAATTTCTGGAAAGGGGGAATCATAGCTTTTCCATGTGTTGTCATTAAATCAGGGTCAGAGTTATGATCAGAACATGATTACCATTTCCAGTATCACAGATACAAAATAGCTGTGGCAAAGAAATGCAAATAATCTCAAAAATTCTGCGAAATGGTACCAAGACTCTGCACTGCATTTTCAATCTTTATTTTCAACTTGCTAGAACTTGATATTGGAAATTCATTTACTTAAGAAGAAGGAAAAGGAGAAAGATTAGAGGATGGAAGGAAGGGAGGGGCTGAGGGTTGGCGAGTAAACAGAGGAACTACTAGAGATTAAAGGGAAAGAATGGCCTAAACTCCACTCTGATAAATCTCTCTACCAGAAAGGAAGGGGAAAAAGAAATCATAAAGCATCCTAAGGTACTGGAAATTTATGAGTTTATTAATCAGCTAAATAGTATGTACAACTGGTAGGAGTGGTTTAGTGACAATTAGTGGACTGTCATTGGCAATTAGAAGTGTAGCATAGTGGAATCAACACAGGCTTTGAAGTTGAGCACTCCTGGATTAAAATGTCAGCCTCTTCATTTTATAACCAGCAAGTTCTTCAACTCTGGGAATTTTCTTCTGTATTCTCTCACAGATTTTCAGACTATGGTGTACATGCTAAAATGCAGAATCTTGGGTCCATCATCCAGAGATTTTGATTTCCTCGGTCTGAGGCAAGGCCCAGAAATATACATTTCTAACTACCATCCCAGATGATTCTGATAACAGGGAGTTACTGAACTTTTCTTTGAGAACAACCATCCTAGTTTCTGGAATGTTGCAGAGGGCCATCTTTCTGTCTAAGTATAATGCTGATCACATAGTAGCGTCATATACACAAGCAGCATAATCATGCCAATAGAACAGTATGAAAGATTTATGCATTTATGTAATCATAGCTCCTTCTTTCACACTTTCAGTGAGAAATGGAAGAAATAGAGTAGGCAACCTTTAGCAGTGAAGCATTACTGTCAACATGACACCATGCCAAGAGATGCCAATGTAGCAGCAACAACAGCAGCCTTAAGGGAGATACAACGTCCCATTAAGTACTCAGAAGAAGCTGCAGAAAGCCACCAGAGAAAGGT